ATAGCAATGTAATTAAAGTGAATGTTAATATGTACATGAATCTAGATATAGATTATTTATCATTGTGAATATATTGACATCATATTTCTTAATATTTTATTATTGATACAATTGTAATGACATGTTCTTACTCTTAACTTTTATAAGTTAAAATTTTATTATTATTTTACTATTAAAATACATAAATTGTTTATTATTAATTTTAATTAAAAAATTATTTAATTACAAAAAAACTTTTTTTTTAAGCTTAGCCCAACAATGTTCTGGCAATTTGATTGTCAAACCACGGATGAAATGGCTGGCAATCGATGTACCCAACTAATAAAAAAATATTTAAAAAAAAGGCTAAATCCTTAATGAAGTCCCCAATCTTTTATATGTATGACAATTATGTCCCTAAATTTTCATTTATGACAACCATTCCCCAATCTTTTAACAATGTGCAAGTGGTATCTTCCCGTAAAAGAAAATGTCCATTTAAACTTTAAATTTCCATACGACATGCACGTGATGTCTAACAGAAAGAGAAAAATTGTTTAAAGACGATTTCCTTTATTTAAAAACCCTAATGGTTATGGTTCAAATTTCATTAAAAAACTGCTCTTCTTTGTACCATTTTATACTTTCAAATAAATATCATGTGCATGTCATGTAATGATTTAACGTTTAAATAGATATTTTTTGCGGGATGAAGATACCGCTCGAATAGGGTTAGACCGTTGGGTATGGTGCACAAAATCTTCGGGGACAAAAAATATTTACCTTTTAAAATTTTTTTATTAAACTCGAAACTCAAATACTGTGGGGGTTACAGCAGTAATTTCACATAAATTCTGTTCACCCCAGCTTCGCCTAATCAAACTGCCACCGGAGCATTCCGGCTTTTTTCTCTCTCTACTTCTTCCATTTGCCCTTTCTCTCTCTATTTTTTGAAAGTTAAAGTTTTTCCAATTTTAGATCGGCAAAAATCCCCATTTAAATCCTTATAGAAAACCTCGATTCGGATAACAATTGGTTCGAATCGTAAGGGACAATGGGGGATTTCAATTTAGCGTTGGTAATCGTTGCAATAATCGTGTGTGTGCTGGTGTTTATATTCAACTTGTACCTCCTTGTAAACTACCAGCATCCAGATGATGCTAATCAGGCGTATTTCCCCAAATTCGTCGTTGTTTTGGGTCTCTCCGTTGCGGCAATTTCGATTTTAATGCTTCCAGCGGATGTGGCTAACCGGCAGGCTTGCCGGCACGCGATTTATAATGGTGCGTGTAACCTTACGCTCCCAATGAAGGACCTGTGGCTCGCCATCTACATTATTGATGCCATCCTTGTGTTTTTCGTCATTCCATTTGCAATGTTCTACTATGAAGGCGACATGGATAAGTCCGTACATTCCTCCTAGGGTTTCTCCTTTTCAGCTGTTTTTTTTATTATTATTAAGAAATGCTTGCATTTTTATTCATACGTGTTGAAATAATTGTGTTTGGTTTATTTATATAACTCGTGGGTTTCGCAGAAGTGTTTGGAAAAGGATGAAAAGTGCATTGTTGTGGGTGATAACGACAGCTGTTGTTTGTGCTTTGGTTCTAGGGATTTTGTATGGTTAGTTTCTCATTGATTTCTCTACTTTTTATGTTGGTTATTTTGTGGGTTTGAAGATAATCTTTTTGCAAGTAACTTTGATTGAACTTTAATGAATAATTGGCTAAATCTTAATGGGCTGCATAATGTAAAAGGTCAACTTCAAACTCAATGTTATTCCAATTCAATTTAGGAAGCTCAATATCTGTGATTCTGGAAGTTGAAAGTGTTTATGGTTTTTTACTGAGCCCATCTATTAGAGTTGTTGGCTGTAATAGACCTGTATGTAGGCATTGAGTTTGTTGTTTGCAAGTGTCAGTTTATGTAGTTTCCATTAAGTTGTTTTTCATTTAATGTTGAAGTGATCAAATATCCAGTGGTATGTAAAGCTTAGAGCCAAGATTCTTAGAAATTTCTTATATTCGGTGGTGCCAGTTCTCTTATTAGTTTGAATCTTCTTATATTATTTATTGTTCTTGCATTTTTGCTAGTCTTCTACTGGCATTGCTGGTTTCTCTATGGGAATCCTTTTTATAGGTTGTTTTTAATAGGCAAGTGAAACTTGGCAAGATATTGTAAAATCGAAGTTTTCATAATTGCAATAGGCCATATTTAAATTGCTGATCTCTGCTCTTTTAAGTTTTTACTTTTTATGGGTTGAGATCTCACCACTCTTAACACATGGAGCTTCATTAGGTTTACATAGGATATGCCCCAACTATATAAGTCGTTCATTCTTTAATTTTTCTAAATTGGTGTTGCCCCACTTGTTGACATTATGCATTCTAGCATGGTTGGCTGGTGGCACTTCCATCTTAACGTTATTAGTTTTGTTGCAATAATATAAAATTCTGTACTAGGACTTGTCGGTAAGGTGGACTTCACAGTTCGACACCTATCCTCATCCACTGAATCCTTTCCATCTACTTGGGGCCTCACCAGAGGTCAACACTGTGTTGGAAATGGAGCACGGCAGGTTAGGAGATATTTTATTCTTCTCTTGCTAATTGATTTTGATTTACCATTCTTACATATTTTCCCATTTCCCCAGTGCTCTGCATATTCTGCCAGTGCTTCATCCGAGACAACATGGACTATGCGAACTACCTTCCCAGAATATGTTGTTGCTCTAGCTACAATTGTTGGATCTGTGCTTTTCACTGTAAGTCCCTCTATTGCAATTTGTAACAATAGAATCTCCACAATAATGATGTGAAATATGTGTTCCATGGTTTATCTTGCTCCTATTTGCAAAAGAGTTCATATTCGATATTTGTCTTTGTCTTGATTTCATACATTTTGATAAATATTTATCTAGCATATACTCATGATTGGAGTTGTTAATATCATCTATAGACTATAGTAATATCACTAAATTTTAAATGAAGAATAGTAACTGAGATAAACCAATTATAGTCCAGAAAGACGTGACATATTGATGTCGCATAAGATTATAGGCTTTTCTTGTCTATTCTCTTTAATGCCAAGACATTCTCAAATGTAATGTGTGCTTCATTTTCACCAGATATTTGGTGGTGTGGGCATTGCTTGCCTTCCATTGGGACTGATATTTTCATTCATCAGACGTCCAAAGGCTGTTATAACACGTTCGCAGTATATCAAGGTATTTATTGTTCTTCACCAATTTGGTCCTACATGAAAACAACTTAAAACTTGTCACTGACGATGTCTATATCTACACCGTACACATGGTCATTGCTTCTTTATCATGTAGGAAGCAACTGAACTTAGTAAAAAAGCTAGAGAATTGAAAAAAGCAGCTGATGCACTTCATCAAGAGGAAAGGAGTGGTAATAAGGGAAGAAAATGGCGTAAAAATGTGAAAGCAGTAGAAAAGGTACATTATAAATCATCTGTTATTGTTGTTGCTCTCATATTTTGCATGTCAAGTTAGATGCTTACACTTTCGGTTTCAATTTATATTTTCAGCTGTGATGTGTGGATATGATTGCTTCAAATGCTTTAAATTTCTTAGCTGCATAACATACCAGATCTAGTTTATCATGCCTTCCTTATTATATGAGTGACAATTGGGTTTCTCTTGTTGATTTTACCATCCGATTCACAATTTTTAGGTTGATCTGGTGCATTTGTGGTTTACTTCATCTTTTTTCTTTCTATCACGCATTTCCATTTTACTTTCCTGATTCTATTATATTATGGCCCTGTCTGTGCCTGATTTCTTGCAAAATTTGGAACGTTGAGCCGCAAGATTCTCTCAAACTTTCCTGATTTCTTTTTTCATTATCTGAGGATTATCTTGTGTGTTCATATCTTGCAGGAGCTACTTCTCTTGGAAGAAGATGTGAAGGCATTGGAAGAGATGTACCCTCAAGGTGAAAAGGTGATGACCTAAAAATATAGTCTGTTCATCTGTATTGTGATTGTATAAGCGTTCTGACCTAGAAAGAAGGAAAATCTGAATAATGTTGTTGCCTAATGTATTCAGGCTGAGGCTTCATGGGCTATGACTGTTCTTGGCTACCTAGCCAAACTTGTACTGGGAGTTCTAGGGTACGTTCTTGTTACTTTTGTACAGTCTTTGTGCACCTGGAATTTCAGTTCACTTTCTTATAGAACATTTGGGGTCCTAATTTCATGAATAATGAAATAATTCTGACTTAAGAATCTCTAAATTCAACACCTTAACTCAATTGCATATCAGGTCAATGTTTGACAAGCTTGCTCACTAGTAAATATTTGTTGTACGCTCTCCCTTTTGGGGGGGGGGGGTGTGGATGGTGGGAGAACTTCCCATGGATCCTGGTAAATGAAGATAGTTGCGAGTTTAGATGAATTTGAACGTCTTCTGAGTTCAATGGAGAGATCTGTTCTTTCCAGCCTGCTTTATGCTTAATGCTTTTGCTGCTGTTTGACCTGATCTATTTTGGATGCGTGTTTTTTGAAACCTGACTGACAGCATATTTTTTTTTTGGCTTTGAACAGGCTGATTGTTTCAGTGGCTTGGACTGCACATATTGTCATATATTTGCTGATTGACCCTCCTATTTCTGCATTCCTTAATGAGATCTTCATCAAATTGGATGATGTTTGGGGTATATACTTCTGCTTCTCACTTCTTTCATTGTCTACTGCTTTACGTGACATGACCTAATATGCTATTAATTTCTGCTACTTTTAGGTCTGCTGGGGACTGCAGCATTTGCATTCTTCTGCTTCTATCTACTGCTTGCAGTCATCGCTGGGGCAATGATGCTTGGATTGAAATTAGTTTTTATAACTATCCATCCTATGAAGTGTGTTATACTTGTAGTATTAGATTTTTATTGGCTGTTTAACCTCAGATTTTATTTTCTTCCTCTCTTTTTCCATGATAACTTGTGGTTGTTGACTAATGTTTAACTACATTTACAGATGGGGAGCCACACTCATGAATTCTTTTCTTTTTAATGTGGGTCTCATTCTCCTTTGCTCAATCAGGTAAGATCTTAATGTGTACACTTTAGTTTTATATGCACTTGGAATATTTTATATGCATTGTAAATTGAATCTTGTAAGGAAAAACATATCACAAGTTTATGGGATCAATGCACTTTACTAAGGTGTCCTTAAATCGACTTGATTGAGGACTTGCAGCTACATTTTGTTTGTCCAGTTTGTAGGCAGTTTCTTCTTGTTAATTGATACTAGATTTAAGGCACGTTTGGTAGGTGATTATAATTGGTTTAAATTATATAAATAGAAAAGAAATGAGTGGTGAATAAGTTGGTAGTACTTGTGGGTCCCACGGGATAAAAAGTAAGTTACACTAGAAGTAATTCAAGAAAACACCTATCAAACATGCGTTTAGTAATTTATCTGGGATTTGCAATCATCTCTCTTATTGGTCCAATTTCTATGGTTTGCTTAATTAAATGTTATTATGAAACTGAAAGTTCCAATACATGTTAAACCTGGTGGAATCTGTTTCATCAACAATGCTTTAGACGTAACATCAGTACATTAGTTTCATTTGCTTATTCTATAGGCTAACAACCCCTTAATACATTGCTTGCCACGTGCTTCTGAATTTCTGCTTTTAATGAACTTTTTGACCTGAGTAGTTTTGTCCCCATGTTTGCAGTGTGATCCAGTTCTGTGCCACTGCATTTGCATACTATGCACAAGCTACTGCTGCTCAAGAAATATTTGGTCACACCTTGCAATCTCTTCGGGGAATCAAATATTTATACAAGTCAGTTGTCAGTTTCAGTACAAGTATTAGCTTCTTGTAGTTGTCAGTCTCTTTATGTTCTTGTCCATTAACTATTATTAGACTCAAAATCTTGAGTGCTGTTGCAGGTATAATGTGTTTCAGATTGGATTCATTGTTCTGGCAGGGCTGACTTTTGTGTATTACTCAGCTTTTGTAAGTCACACCGAACTTTAGAATTCTATTATCTTTTTTCCATGAAACCTTGAGCTTAAAGCTGTATCTACCTTGATACTTTTCAGGGGTGGAGAAGAAAAAAGCCCAGTGGCAGATTCCAGCTTTCCACATAAGAATTTGGTGCCGTGAACTCATCTAACAGGTGGATCTGCTGCTCTTCTTGATTTATCTTTGGTGTGATTGATGTACATTATGGATGCACGTGCCTTGGTTTTGTTCAATGCATTGCTTGGGGAAGAAGGCCAAACATGATGAAAGATCCAATCTGTGGAATTTGTATGGCCTACATGCTGCTGCTGTTTTTTCTTATTTCACCTGTTTTCCCACTGAATGTATGTTCATTTGTTTGATTATATCATGAATCACCTTTGCATGTAGTTTTCGGCGTTTGAATACTGAATTGAGAATTACCTTTGATGTAATATAGTGTCATTGAGCAAAAGATTCTTAGAGTAGCATGTTTTATCTCTTGATCCATTGTAATTAAGTTTTAACTGAGTAGCAAGCACACCATTAGCTTCTAATTGACTTGTGTTTACATGCATTGGGTTTAGATTAAGAGTATTTTCTAATGATTGCATTATTGCATTAACCAAGTCGTAAATTTATTAAATTGAGGACAATGTTTGCAGTTAAATCTACTGTCAAGTACATGAAGAAAAAGAAAAATTGAGATCCCTCTGATGAAGCAATCTGAGAATAAGAATGTGTTAGATAAAGCAGTATTGGACTGGATGGGACAGTGCTATGGGCGGGGGTTTGGCTTCTTATTCTTTAACGTCTTCTAGTGTTTATCTAGGCTAGTTTACAAAATGTGTATATATTTTGAAACGTTGTTCGATGCTTACCGTTGAGGTGAGGTTTCGTTGAACGCCTTGAGATTCATTTGTCAAGGTTTACACCTCGACTTACCAACGTGTTCGTTGTTTTCAAGGAATGCCATAAGTTGGTTTTTGATTAGATAAATTATATTCATCGTACAATAGATGAAAAAGATTTATGTTACTCATTTTCAAATTAATTAAGTCCTATTTTATTAAGGGAAGAACCATGGTTCCAGATTCAATATGGGAAGAATCATCAAGATTAATGATATGTTGAACAATATTGTTCATTGATCTAGCCAGGGCATAACTGAAGTATGAAACTTTTGAATTACGACAATAACTTATTTAATTTGTCTTCAAGTTATTAAACTTCAATTTCTAACAACAAAATTACGATTTCTTTCAAAATATTTGCCTAACCAAAAAAGATCCATTTATTTTCTTGATCGCAAACTTGCTCATGTAAATTCTGGTAAGCCAAACTACACTAATTACTCCACCAAAGAATCAAATTATGGCATTAGCTTTCATTATTTCTTCTTGTTCATACAGTGTTTTATTACACAATTCCATTGTCCTAATTTGCAACTTCAAATTATTTGATGAAACAAAGAACAAAATCAATCAAATGACGAACCAAATGATAGTCTGGCCAAATTTTAAAAATTGAGTATGGTAAACCGTAATTGACAACAGTGTCTTACAATATAGTAGACGAGATTATAATCATGTCCTACGTTGTGGCACTATATATTGACCCACTCCTTTTGCCAAGTACAAACATGGTCAGTCACGTTAAGGGTGGTTTCACCATCAGGACCAACAACGTAATATGGCGAATCCTCGGGAAATTCAGCTGGCATCGACAGCCAGTGCAGGCTTGGTTCCCATTCGGCGTCTTTGAGGACCTTCAGTATCTCCTTTACTACAATTTTGCTCCCTTCAGATGAAAAATGGATTCCATCTCTGCATGGAGAACAAGGATTAGCTATGTCAAAACTACTCATCCAAGTCCAATGCAGCATTCGACATGTCAAAGATAGAATCTAAAAATACAGAGCCAACTTTGCAAGTAGACGTAGAGATTCCATTTTCGGGAACTTATCCAAAGTAAGAAAAACCCGTTTGGAAACAAAGACTTACTTAGAATCAGCTTTATTTACCTTTAAGCTTAGCCAAACACGCTCTTAGATAAGAACAGCATATGAAAATGTGAACTTACATAAAGCAAGCCTTTGCCCAATCATCTCTTTGCCGAATCGCAGTGTAAAGATCAATGACTTTAATATCTAACTGCTGACCCAACTCTACTAAAGCTTCAGTGTATTTGAGGCAGCATTCATTTTTCCGAGCTTGATCATCAAATGCATTACTGGTTTTTGAGAGAGAACAAAAAAGGCAGGGATTTCTTCAGATGATGAAACTTTTTCAGCAGGTATTAATGAATAAACTGAATTTTATTTTAGATTACCCAAAAATTTCTCGAATTCTCTCTTCGTTCACGGGAGGAGAACTAAGAAAAATTATCCGTATGTTCTCTGATAGAGACTGGAAATCATGCAAACCAGAGTCAGAGCATATGATATTGATATTCTTAAGAGAGAAGGAAGAATAGGCAATATGTAACATAAATTAAATAAAGAATAGAAAACATATTTGTACATTCATTGAAACTGCAATTTCCAATCAATAACAAAATTTTTCAGGTTACTCTTAATGATGAAAAGTGAAGTTCCTAAAATAACACCGATGTTACCATGAAAAGTGAAGTTCCTAAAATAACACCAATGTTACATCTATAATGACAAACTCATCTCTAATGGGAGAAATCTTTAAAATAGTTAGAACGAAGAAAAAGCTAAAAACGAAGCTGGGCACTCTCTTCAGTGTACAAGTTTCCTAACGAAAAATTCGTGTATATTAGTTCAGAGGAACTACCTCCACCATATTCAATGCTATTTCAATTGAATAATTCACCAAAATCTCCAAAAGTTAAGACCTAATTCTGCTTTATAATTGTATTGGTTGGTCAAAGAAATGATTGCCATATTTCTTTAAATCTGTAGTCCTATAGTGGAGCCCAAAAGCAAATCATCGTCCTTGTCATACAAGAGTAGATATAAGATGCAATTATAGTAACTCAGTGAGAAACGTAAGTATGAAGAACAAAGTTACCTTGAGATGAAGAGCAATCTTTCTCATGTTCTCTACATACTCTGGAAGAGGAACATGAGCGCCTTTGCCACTTGGGTGTGGGTTTGTTGCATCATTACCACCAAAATATACTATAACCAGAGTAGGCTGAACAGCTGCATCCTGAATTCAAATTACCAAGAAAAATACCTTGTTAGATTTGAATCCAGATTAGGACATGGTCAATACATGATTGTGAAATAAATTAATCTAAAATATATTTTGGGGCAAAATAGCTCATTGTAGTTAACCTGTTTCCAGTTTCAGGAAACTGCATAACTGTTCAAAGTATTTGGCCAACATATTTATTTAAGTAGAATCACTACCCAACAAGTATACCTTGGGGAACACCCTATCTAAGACTTGAAGAGCAAGCCTTGAGTTCCAACCAGAATATCCTCTTAGTATCACATCTGCCTATACAGTTGCCACATAAATCAATCTTGATTAGGAGTGAATCTATATAAAAGCAGATAATAGCAGTTATAGTGTCACATGCGCATAGCCAATCCATCAAGAACAACAAACTTCACTTTTTCATGGTAAATTTGGGGTTAGCTACATGAATTATTTTCTTTCACTCCGTTTGTTTTGTCGCTTGATTTACAGGAAAATGTAAAGCAACCACATCCGTAGCAACTACAAGGGGTCCCTTTTTTTTAGTCTGCCATCCCCCTTCTTACATGTTTTACTTAGACCTTGTCACTCTCGTGATCGTAAGACTCTTTGGGTCTACGCGAAATATGTCACAACCACCTAAATCGTCCTTCACTTATTCCATTCTCAATTGGCACTTCTAGCACCTGTTGACATATATTCTTATTTCTTATAGCATGCATGACCCCACATCCATCTTAGCATCCTTATTTTTGCTATATAGGGCATTTTTTTCTTCCCCATTCTCAGTAATACAAAACGTGCTAAGTCCAACACTCACTAATCCAAAACGTACCAAGTCTAATAATATGCATTACATCCTTTTCAATTCTTTATTCCTCGTTCATAATCAAACTTTTACCTACAGGCTACAATAATTACTTTTAGGAATAACACGATTCTATATTTATTCCAACTATTACTAAAGCGATGCAACATGAATTGAGCATAGGTTCTAGTCAACTCAAAACTTTATATTCCATCATATTCCTCCAAACTTCTAACTTACAGTTTAACCCCTTTTTTGTCTTATCATCTAAAACTACATCAACGAAAAACATAGACCAAGTGATCTCATCTTGAGTATGTCGTCCATGACTAAAGCAAAGAGATAGGATTTGAGGTCAAACTTACGTGCAAGCTTACAGTGATACAGATATCTTAAATATCACTATCACAACATGTTAAACCTGTAAATCGTAATCACCCCATCATACACGGTTTTGATGATATTGATATATCTAATCGAAATTCCTCTTTTCTCTAGCATTTGCCAATGCAATTCCTTAGTCACCTTATCATAAGCTTTTCTAGATCAATAAAATTCACATCCACATCTTTTTATTTTTCTGTACTTCTCTATCAACCTCAAGAGCACGTAAGCAGTTTCAATGGTAGATCTCCCCAGCATAAATCCAAACTGATTTTCTAAAACTTTTGAATTCTACCTTAATCTCTGCTCATTCACCCTATTTTATTAAACAGGACTGTCAAGAAAAAATGACATAAATAGGAATTTGCCACCATGAAACACAAATTCTGAGCTAGTTTCATTGTTTGAATATGAATACAATCCCGAAATCTTACATCTGAATCCTACAGAAAAAGTAAAAGAAATCCCCAACTATCACTAAGACTTAATTCATCAACAATCGTTGTCTAACATTTCTGTATCTCAAGTAGCAAGAAACATATGGTATATGTCAAAAGTCATTTTATTAGATTGTATATAAAACAAGGCATAAAGAAGATCAATAGAAGAAATTAGATGCATTGATTATAGCTTCATAAATGGCTCTATTATTTCCAAAAAAAAAAAAAGCCCCACGAAAGTACAACATGGGATATCCAAAAGCATACCTTGCGGGCGTAAAGATCAGTAAAAATAGCACCCCAGCCACCAACGTTGTACGACATTTGAACTACGGATGACCCGAACAACACGAACTGCGGACGGGTCGGACCCACCATTTTCCTCCTCCTCCTACACTTCTTCCTCTTCTTTTGCTTCAACGCTCACAAATTATATATGTGTAATGACATTTATAAGAATGATATGCTGTAGATGGATGTGGGTGTTTGGTGAAAAATGGAACTTGAAAGGCTTACGGAATTACCAAATTCTCGTGGGGTCTCGAAGACTGGTAGGTGGAGAACAACGAGTCAATTAAATCATGCTTACTAAACTTTAACCATGGTCACAAATATTAAATCCCTACTGTGCAATTCACTATTTAGTATTTACCGTTCATTTATGAAATATTTTTTTATCACCATCTTATCTATATCCATCATCCACTATCAATTCATGAATCTTTAAAATAAAAGAGTAATATGGACTTTCTCGTACTCACAATTGTTGACTCTTCTTATGTCTATGAGAATAAAGGAGAGAGAAAAAACAGAAGCAACCATTTATTATTGGTAGTCAATTCTAAGCTTAATTGTATTTCTGCTTCTTCGAACACAAACTAAACCTATACAGAAAAACGGAACCCTCAAGCAGAGAAACCATCTAGGTGTATACAAAACCACATGTGTTCTAAATTGTATATATTTCATCTTCACTGAGAACAAAAAACGTAGAACAAATAATTATGTGAAGTGGGGGATATTGACATCCTTACCTATCACGGCTATTGAACTCGATGACCTTCGATTGCAGCATCATACCTTCCTACTGAAAAATTTATGCATAATTACATACAAGACATTGGATGGGGATATCGACTCTGACTGCTACTTCCTTGTACCATATCCGCATTTCTAGGACTCCAAGGGTTGAACTTTATATTACCATTTAGAAGCCTTTTCAACGACTTCAAACGTTAAGGGACATGCGATCTTTCATCTTCCTGTTCGTTAACCTGTCTTGGAATGTCAATTATAAGCATCTCGTCTGGCTTATTACTTGCCGATGCCAATGATGACGAGCTAGTGGGTTGAAACGAAGCAGCTGTTGCAATGCCTTGATGATTATCCTCTAAACAAGGTCCAAATGTACTAACTTGAGTCTCTTTACCCCAGAACAATACATTGGTGGGAAAATTTGGTGGCTGGCCTGAATTTTCTTCAATTGGGGTTTAAATTACAGTCTCTTTAGGACCACTAAGATTCGATGAGGATTCATTTTCATTCCTAATAAGGTCTCGACAAAGAGGACAAGTGGAATAAGATTGAAACCACATATCAATGCAATCCATATGAAACCCATGCTTGCATTTTGGCAAAAACCTGATTTTTCCCCTTGTGAGACCTCAGAAAGACACAATGCATCTTTGAAATCATTGGGATAATATATTACTACATGTATGGTTTTGAGAGCTGTGGGATCAAGATCAGGCGCAGGGCGGAGGGGTCTCTCACCGCGTGCGCAGAGACTGGTGTCTCCACAGCGCGGAGACATGCTCTACGAAGCGCGGTGAGAACTGCGGAGACCCCTCCGCGTGGCTCCCCCCAACACGGGCAGGTCGATCCCCATTTCGAAGCGATAAACCATTTGCATAACAAAAATAAACAAATAAATAAATTATGAAAAAATATATAACAAATTTTCAGTTCAACTATGTAACATTGTTAATTTGTTTTGATGTTATTGAAAACTGAGACAATTCCATACACATTTCTATTGCTAACCAACATAGTATAGATACAAATTTACCCCTAACATTACCTTCAAAATAACATAACCCGTGCATTGCACGGCAATAGACTAGCTTGTAAATAAGTAGAAAACGTGTATGATCAAACCCACGTTTCTTTCTTCTCCATTCAAGCTCCAATTTTTCAATCCAAATCACAGTCCACCCAATCAGATGTCCATCTAAAATCATGTCTTTCCCAAATTGCATTCCTCCCCAATTCCAATCCTAGGTAAGTTCTATCTACATCTTCAATCAATTGAAATCTTCACTAATCACAGTTTACCCCCAAATTCATCACGAACCCTAGATTTTTCCACTTAAAACATAGACAAACAGAAATCGAAAGATTTAACCACAAAACCTAGAAAGATTCTTGTCTTGATTGTAAAGAACATGGAGGATCCAAAAAATCTCTTATGCCGACCATCGAAGATGGACCATAAGGTAAATTATTTATTCTTCAATTTTATATTATACACGTCGAAGACAAGTATTGAGTATGTCAAATTGAGTTAATTTGTTCACAAAGAACATGCGATTGTTACAATGTAAATAATATTAGCATTGAGTTTATTTTCATGAATTTTATTTTTATTTGAAATGATCATTGAAGTTTGAAGATATTTTACCAAAAACAGGACCTTACAATAAAGGAGTTTTGTAAACTATTTTTTTTTTCTCAATACTGAATGATAGACCAATTTCCAAATATACACCTTTATCGTCTCCTATCTAATTTTACAAACTTAATTTCAGTGGTGCAAATGATAAGAGTGAAGTAGTCATTTAAGCTCACAGCCGCAGCGTGAGGGTTCGATTCCTACCTCTTCCAAGATATGTAATAGGACTCTTTGTGGGCACCAGTATGACAGCTCTTATACTCTAACCTATTGAGACACATCCCGCTATTTACCTCCTCCACAATGCTATAGGGGTGGGGCACTTGGGGCTCTCAAGGTTGGGGTTCAACCTTTAATAAATGATGGGCCACGAATCTTTCTCTAAGATTTTCCCTTATAATTTTTTTCATAATATGAAGGCCTATTAAAAAGGAACAACTTACATATATACCCCTAAAATTAGGAATCTTTTGAAAAATCATATGAAAATTATTGTGAAAGTAAAAAAAGTAATCTGTAAAATTAAGTTTCACTTTTTTAATATTGAAAAAGTGACAAATGTCACTTTTCAAAGTTGAGTGTGACTTTTTTTATTAAAAAGTGACAGATGACGAGGGTGTTTTACTTACCAGTTTTATTCAATTTTTAACTTGATTAAGAGCTAGATCTTATGAATACTTAACACAAAACACTTGTAATCTACATTTAATGTACATATTTTTGAGCTTGTATTCTTTGTCAAACCAATTCTGGAATGAACTCAGGTTTGAGCTATCAAGTTCCTTCGAATAGTTTTGGAACACAATGTTTCTAGATTCAGACGTCATTCCAATTGCAGCATGATGTGGATCAACCTTAACAAAAGGTGACTATAGAATTTTTTATGGCTATTGTACTCTCTTCACAGGCAATCCAGATGATGCAGGTGCAGGCATATCTTCCTGATCCAAAAATATAAAAATAAAGGTTCTCGAATTAGTGTATATAAACAATCAGTTTGGATTTATAATATGAAATATTAAATGTTTCATTAAGCCGACCTCTTCGGTGTGAAGTTAGTGGACTCTAGCACGAGTGCAATAGCCTTATCAGCCTGTTTCAACACTTACTTTACTAGCGAACAATACATCATCGGTGCCTTTAAGACTATGTGTAGAGCCAACGCCTAGATCAAATGAAGGAGATTGGAGAATGTAGTCATCATGGAAGTCATGTGAAAACTCAAGTTCCTTGTGACCCTTGCCCTTTTTTTCTACGACATCATTAGCTTTGGCTCAAGTTCCATGTAACCCTTGGTTCCCATTCATCAATAATCATTGTCTAACATTCTGTATCTCAAGTAGCAAGAAACATATGGTATATATCAAAAGTCATTTTATTGGATTGTATATAAAACAAGGCATAAAGAAGATCAATAGAAGAAATTAGATGCATTGATTATAGCTTCATAAATTATTATTTCAAAAAAAAAAAAAATCCCCACGAAAGTACAACATGGGATATCCAAAAGCATACCTTGCGGGCATAAAGATCAGTAAAAATAGCACCCCAGCCACCAACGTTGTACGACAGTTGAACTACAGATGACCCGAACAACACAAACTGTGGACTGGTCGGACCCACCATTTTCCTCCTTCTACACATCTTCTTTTTCTTCAACGCTCACAAATTATGTATGTGTAATGACATTTATTAGACTGATATGCTGTAGATGGATGTGGGTGTTTGGTGAAAAATGGAACTTGAAAGGCTTACGGAATTACCAAATTCTCGTGTGGTCTCCAGACTGGTAGGTGGAGAACAACGAGTCAATTAAATCACCGCCTAATAAACTTTAATGTGTGTTCACTGGAACATAAATGGTTACTCAGTACTCACCGAAATACTCATTAGTTTATCCACCCATCACAAAAGTCAATTCTATCTATACAGCTGAAAAAATGTCCACGTGACAGATGATATGACAGACAAAATGTGATTATTATACATATCATCTAAAAATATTAATTTGTAAATAAGTAAAAAACGTGTACGATCAAACCCACATTACTTTCTTCTCCATTCAAGCTCCAATTTTTCAATCCAAATCATAGTCCACCCAAATTCAAAATCACATTCCTCACTAATTGATCAAATGTTGATCCAACGCGTTCTTCCCCAAATTGCATTCCTCCCCAATTCCAATTCTAGGTAAGTTCTATCTACATCTTCAATCAATTGAAATCTTCAGTAATCACAGTTTACCCCCAAATCCATCACAAACCCTAGATTTTTTCACTTAAAACATAGTCAAACAGAAATCGATAGATTTAGCCACAAAATGTAGAAAGATTCTTGTTTTGATTGTAAGGAACATGGGGCCCCAGGACATACAAAAATCGAAAAAAAAATATGATAGTGGAAGAATCTCTTTTGTAGACCATGGAAGAGGAACCATAAGGTAAATTATTTATTCTTCAATTTTATATTATACATGTGGGAGACATGTATTGAGTTTGTCGAATTGAGTTAATTTATTCACAAAGAACATTTGACTGTTACAATGTAAATAATATTAGCATTGAGTTTATTTTCATGAATTTTATTTTTATTTGAAATAGTCGTTGAAGTTTGAAGATATTTTACCAAAAATATGACCTTTCAGTAAAGGAATTTTGTAGAACAATTTTTTTCTCAATACTAAATGATAGACCAATTTCCAAATATATACCTTTATAGTCTCCTATCTAATTTTCAATGGAGAATAGCAATAACCATATTTTTTGTTGCAACGCAGATGATACAGTTCAAGAAGAGGAAGAGATACCGATTGAATATCAGTTGATTGATTCAAATAATGCGGTTAACGATGATGATTTCCACTATGATAAGAACGCATCCAAGCATATTGAGTTTGGATTCCATGCAGTCCTTGTACTCGAACTTGAGGTTGGATGTGAAGAATAGAAAAGTTCTGATGAGTTAGATTATCCAAGTGAGGAGGAGCTGTATAGTGATTATTCTTCTAGTGAAGAAAACATTTATCACTTCCCTATATATGATCTCGAAAATGAGAAGTTCAACCCGCAACTTGAGATTGGAAAGGAATTTTAAAACATCAAGAAGTTTGGGCAAGCTGTGAGGAATCATAGGATTGCTAGTAGATATAATTTGAGGTTTAGATTGAAGTATGAGTTTAGAGCACACATCATATGTAAATTAGGGTGCAAGTGGAAAATATGGGCTTCTTGGAATAAAAAGAAAGGTTGTGTACAAATAAAGTCGGCAAATTTATAGCATACATGTGTAAGGGACATAACAAATAAGAATTGCAAACTACAAGTATTTCACTTTGATCCTTGGTGGAGGATTTGCAAGATGTAGAGAACCAAGAAAAAGCAAGGAAGAGGGCAGCCATGATAAAAAAAATAAAAGGGTTGTTCAAGGGTGAGTTACATTTGCACCACCAATAACGAAGAAAAATTCAACCACTCAGTAGCAACTCAACAGAATTTACAAGTCACACAAAAAAAAAAAAAAAAAAAAAAAAA